CTATCGACAGTAAGATTAGAAGGAGGACCAGGCAAGTCTATAAATAAGGTAACTAATGAATAACACAATCTAACTTTACTTTCACATATAACACCAGCGACAGTGCCACTACTACAGGAGTATAAGCGATAATCTAAACAGTCATAAAGAAACTTTTCATTTCCATTACATTCAAAGCCAGCTTGTAATACTGAAATATTGGTAGGTACTGAAATATTATCTGGCATAGCTCCTATAGAATTACATCATTAAACACATTAGTAATGTAATGAGCATACCTTGTGCATTCTTTCCTAGTTGTCTACATACAACTTGTGCCTGAGTAGAGGACCATGTTGTACTACATAATGCATGCCACTCTCCATTTACACACAGCAATACAGCATTAGTATCAAGTAATTGTATCTGTCCATTTTGACAGACTGAGGTATTGGTACAATTACTAGCAGCAATATAGTAGTTAGGGCATTTCAGGTTGGGCTGATAGCTATTAACACTACGCGAACAATCTAAAATGTTTTGCTGGGAAATTGGTTTAACTGAGCAATAAAACCATTTAATAAAACTAGGTGTAGGAGCAGGATTTAATCTTCTCCGAGTGATACCTACATGATGGCACATCATAACAAAATAATCAACTTAAACATATACCAGTATCAGACTGAGAGTGTCTAGAATATCCCATCTGTTGGCAGATTACATTAGCTACTCTTTGCCTGGTTCCTCCATCACTGTTTGCACAGATATATCCCCATCTATTATTAAAGCATATCTGTACAACTGTATTGTTGTATGCTGGATCATATCTGATGGCTCCTTTAGTACATGCTCCTCCAGCAAACTCAACTGCCACAACAGCTATGCTAACACAAACTAGGAAGTGGGCCAAGTGGCACTTCTTGAACAACATTTTGAAATGTACCATAGTTTACAGCTTTCTAGGAAGTTACTCAGCTATTGCATGTGAATGTTGCTGTATGCTTATATGTACACACCAGCTATGATAACCACACCCATTGAGCAGTCACATGTATATAATATGTACAATAATGGTAATAACACTGAGATACACTTTAACATTAAAAATTAATGCCACAGTTAATTCCTTTGTAACTTGTCATAGTTACCAGTTTCTTCCTCAGTTTCAGCCAGTGAATAAACTGGATCATTATTAACAGTCATTATATTCACTTCAACAGGACTCTCATAATCATTAGCAGCAGGAACTGCA